ACAAAGAAGCCAAAACCATTCAATGGAAAAAAGACAGCATCTTCAACAAATGGTGCTGCTCTAACTGGATGTCTACATGTAGAAAAATGCAAATAGATCCATATTTATCACCCTGAACAAAACTAAAGTCTAAGTGGATCAAAGACCTCAACATAAAACCAGACACACTACACCTATTAGAGGAGCTAATGTGAAAGAGCCTTGACTTCATTGGCACAGGAGACAACTTTCTGAACAGATCACCAACAGCTCAGGCTCTAAGATCTACAATTAATAAATGGGACCTCTTGAACCTGAACAAAACGACAGCCTACAGACTGGGAAAGGATCTTCACCAAACCTATATCTGACAGAGGCTAATATCTAGAATAAATAAAGAACTAAAGAAGTTAAAAAGCAACAAATCAAGTAATCCAATTAAAAATGGGGTACAGAGCCAAGCAGAGAATTCTCAACAGAAGAGTATCAAATGGCAGAGAAAATTTAAAGGGAAGTTTGAACTCCTTAGTCATCAGGGAGATGTAAATCAAAACAACCCTGGAATTCCACCTTACACCCATCACAATGGCTAAGATAAAAAAGCTCAAGTGACAACACATGCTGGAGACGATGTGGAGAAATGGGAACCCTCCTCCATTGCTGGTGGGAATGCAAACTTGTACAACTACTTTGGAAATCAATCTGGCGTTTTTCAGAAAATTGGGAATAGTGCTATCTCAAGAACCATCTATACCACTCATAAGCATATATCCAAAATATGTTTAACTATACTTCAAGAACATTTGCTCAACCATGTTCATAGCAGCTCTATTTGTAATAGCCAGAAGCTGGAAACTACCTAGATGTTCCTCAAGGGAAGAATGGTTACAGAAATTGTGCTATATTTACTACTCAGCAATGAAAAAACAAAGAAATCATGAAATTTTCAGGCAAATGGTGGGAACTAGAAAACATCTTCCTGAGTGAAGTATCCCAGAATCAAAAAGACACACAAGGTATATAATCATCCATAAGTGGATATTAGACATATAATATAGGGTAAACATCCTAAAATCTATACTCCTAAAGAAGCTAAACAACAAGGAAGAACTTGGGAAGATGCTCAATCCTCATTCAGAAAGACAAATGCAATAGACATTGCAAGCAGGAGGAGACAGGGAACAGGACAGGAGGCTTTCACAAAGGACTTCTGAAAGACTCTGGTAAGTGAGGTCTGAGTGCAAGGAATCTTATAAAAGATGGGAGAGATAGACCTAGGGGGACAAGAGCTCCAAATGGAGACCAACAGAGCCATAAAAACCAAGCCCTGGGGGCCCTGAAGATTATGGTACACCAACCAAGGACAATGCATGGAGAGGACTTAAAACCCCAGCTCAGATGTAGCCCATAGACTCAGTCTCCAAGTGGGGTCCTTATTAAGGGGAGCAGGGGCTTTCTCTGGCATGAAATTATTTGCATTCTCTCTGATCACCTTCCCTTTGGGTTGCAGACTTGTCAGGTCACAGAAAAAGATAATGCAACCATCCTGATAAGACCTGATAGGCTAGGGTCAAATAGAAGTGGAGGAGGGCCTCCCCTATCAATGGCTAGGGGAGAGGCATCAGGGGAAAAGAAAGACGGAGGGTGGGATTGGAAGGAGATGAGGGAGGGGGCCACAGGCGAGATACAAATTGAATAAATGGTTATAAATGATAGTAATAAAAATGTGAAAAAGTAAAACCCCCAATAAATAAATAAATAAATAAATAAATAAATAAATAAATAAATTCAGTTAGGGAGCAGAGAAGATTGAAGATGGCTCATTTGGTGAGAGTATTTGCTTGCAAGCATGAGGACTGAGTATATATATTCTGAGGAAAGTGTGAGCCACATTCTTCTTGATCCACTCTAGTTTGTTTTCTTGGGACTGATCAGTCTGTCCTACAGAAAGTGCCAATTATAACACTAATAGTCTTAACAGAAAAGTATTAATGAGGATGGCTATTCAAAAAGATTTTCCTTTGGGGAATTTTAAGATTACATCCAAGTGTCTTAAAAAGATATATTAGAGACCTTTGAATTATACAGTGTTTCCAAGAGAATCTAACCAAGATTTATGATGGTAAATGATATTCTGATTTGTATTTGCTTTATTCAATATTGAGAAATGATCACTGTTTTGCATCTACTTTTGAGTCTTATAAGAAGCCTAAATTGTAACTAAATGTCCTGGTGACAGGTTTCCAAACTTTTGGGTGACCTATCAATAATCTGAATGTTAATGTATATGAAAAACTTCTTCTTCCATTGGACATATTGGAAAATCTTTGTACATATATCTGATGACTAATCAAATTTCCAGAAATTTGAGTAATCTGAATTGTTTTAAAGTACAGATTTCAATTTCTGTTCATTAAATATTAAAATACTCTGCTCCAAAATATTTAATCATCTCAGAGTGATTATGAGAATTAGGCAGTTAGGATAGATACTAGAGGCAATGCAATTTATGAGTGGTGTCTTCAACATTTTTGTAGGTTTTTTTTTTTTTTTTTTTTTTTTTTTTTGCATTTCTTCATTCTGATGGCTAGAATGAATTGGCAAATGTCACCACAATGCTCATCTCCCTTTGACCCTTTCTCCCTCTATACCATATCCTGATAAAACCTAAACAAAACCCACCCTTATTTTATATTAGAACTGTTCTTTCTAAAATATCATCTCCTGAGATATCTGTGCTGTTCATTTGTCCTCTGCATTTTGTGTGAACTAAAAGCTTTTATTTAATCAAGCAGTCACATAGATAATCTCTAAACTAAAAGTAGTTATTTCATTATCCTAGGATTTTTGTTTGTTTTGCATATTATTTTAAAGTACTTATATTTTGCTTCCTTCTAAGAAGAACAAGCTTTCCACTACATTGAAAAAATTATTTTTGTCACTATCATTTAATTCCATAGCTAATATATACATTGTATTGTACCGTTTTTTTTTTCAATGAAGAGTAAGTCAATACCTAAACCTAGTAACCATCAATGTACCCTATTGATACAGCTTGAATATACATAGGATATCAAAATATGTTGAATCTTACTAAAAAGTTATTCCAGAAAACATGATGTGATAAAGAGAAATATAGAAGAAGAAATGAAGGAAATGTTTTGATGTGGTGGTTTCTTAAGATTTATTTATAAATAAAACACCAGAAATTCTGACATGTTTTGTTACAAAGGAATGCAGCTGAACAATTAAAAATATTTCTAAATTTATCGTTTCTCCTTTAAGACATATCTACCATTTTTATCTCATGTATTTGTGTTTTTCAGTATTTATGTTTGTATACATTTTGCCTCCCTGGTGCATGCAGATGCCAGATATAAGTGTTAGATTTCTTGGAACTAGAGTTACTATCAACTGTGAACCACCATTTAAGTTTGAAAACTCGTGTAATCTCCAAGGGCAGAAATGGTTTTTCACTGCTGATATGAATCTACAGACTCTCACCCCTTTTCTTTTTCTTTTCTCTTTCTCTCTTTATCTTATTTTGAGAATATAATTTAATTATAATATTTCTCCCTTCCATTGCCTCATTCTAAATCCTCCCATATCTCTCTCCTCTCTCTATCAAATTCATGGCCCCTTTTTGTTATTGTTGTTTTGATTTAGTAACACACTTTGAGAATTTATAATTACAACACACACAACTATTTTAAACTTAATGGAATCTGATAAATATTTTCTTTCTTTCTTTTCTTTTTTTTCTTTTCTTTCTTTTTCTTTTCTTTTTTCTTTTTTCTTTTTTTTTTTTTTTTTTTTTTTTTGAGTAAGACAGGGTTTCTCTGTGTAGCCTTAGCTGCCAGGCTGGCCTTGAGCTCACAGAGATCCACATGCCTTTGCCTTCCCGAGTGCTGGGATTACAGGCATGTGTCGTGCGGCCTGGCTTATTATTTTCTTAAACTAAGGAATTTGAATTTTTTTGTTAGGAAAATCTTATGCCATGGGAAGCCTTAAATTAGACAGTTTATGAAAATTGAAAGTGGCTAATCAACACAGAAAGAAAATCAAGAGCAATTGTAAAAGTCAGGGAAGGAGTTTCATAAATATAAACATATAAGGTAGCTATGGATTTGAAAGTAGTGAAAAGAACACAAAGATTTTTAGGAAAGAAGGAAAAGAGTCATTGATTCTCAAACACTCCTGGTCAAACTGTGGCCTGGTTGATTGTTATCTCAGTTCTGATACATAAAGAATCTTATCAGTTTTATTGTTAAGACTGAATTGGGATCAATCCCCACTTGATCCACAGAAAACTGCTTCTGATGTAAAAGAGAATGTTGATTTGCCTTGCAAGCTGTTTACCAGATAGGCAACCTTGAAAGAAGACAAATTGGTACCTATGAGAAGATCACTTCTGTTTTGGCATCACTATTAAAGGATTGGAATGAGAGGTTGAAGCCAATGATTCAAGGAATCCAGATGACACTCAAAGAATGCAAAACACATGATAAAAGGTGACAATAGGCAATCTTTTGAAAACATCATAGGTACTGGTATTCAGCCTTGAAGAAAGACACTTATTCACTTCAGGTAAAGGCCCTTTGAATATTAAGTGTGGCAATGCAAGGTTGATCAGTGCTCTGACCAAAGATTAAGACAAAGGAAATAAAACAGTACGGGAGAGATTTGAAAACTTTGTCTTGCTGTTTGTTGCCCAATTGTTGTTGGACAATTGCAGTTTTAAACAAACAGTCAATTGTATTAGGAAAAGCACCATATATGTATTTTATAATTAAAAATTGTAATAAAACCTGATACTAAATTGTCATAAATAATAAATTAGTGCAACTTATGTATCAAGTGAACATAGCACTTTTCGGTAAGTGCTGTAACAATGCAGAAGAACTTTCACTGTTTTCTGGCTCTATCCCCACAGAATATTTCTGCACATCAGTGTAACCATTTGGAACTTTATCACTTTTTGTTCATCTCTCCTACCTGACAGCCCATGCGAGGAATCTAGAATGCCCAATGTCACTAGAATAGCAGGATTCATCCTTATGGGACTCTCAGATATTCATGAGCTACAGACTGTATGTGGTGTGTTCTTCCTGGTGATCTACCTAGCAGCCATAATGAGTAACTTTCTTATCATCACCCTCATTACTCTGGACCTGAAACTCCAAACACCCATGTACTTCTTCCTGAAAAATTTGTCTCTGTTTGATGTCTTCCTTGTATCCATCCCAATCCCAAATTTCATTGTCAATAGTCTAACTCACAAAAATTACATTACTGTTCTGGGTTGTGCCTTCCAGATACATTTAATGACTTCCTTCTCAGCAGGAGAGATTTTTGTCCTGACTACTATGTCCTATGACCGCTATGTTGCCATCTGCTGTCCCCTGCACTATGAGGCCATCATGAGTTTTGGTAACTGTGTGAAGATGGTGAGTATTTCCTGGACTTCTGGAGTGCTCTTTGGAACTGTATACACAACTGGCACATTTTCCATGCCTTTTTGTGGCTCCAATGTGATCCCACAGTTTTTCTGTGATGTTCCCTCATTGCTAAGGATTTCCTGCTCTGAAACACTAGGAATAATTTACACAAGTCTTGGAATTGGCTTGTGCCTATGCATGTCTTGTTTCATCTGTGTTGTGATCTCTTACTTTTACATTTTCTCCACGGTACTAAATATTCCTACTACTAAAGGTCAGTCCAAAGCATTTGCCACCTGTGTCCCCCACCTCACTGTTTTCACTGTTTTCATTGCAACTGCTTGCTTTGTCTATCTGAAGCCACCCTCAGATGTACCATCAATTACAGACAGGATGTTTTCTGTGATCTACACTGTGTTGCCTTCCGCACTTAATCCTGTGATCTACAGCCTTAGGAACACTGATGTCAAGTGTGCTCTGGGGAGGTTGCAGCAAAATCTCTGCCAAAGGAGTCTACTTCACTTAACATTTCAAAATATCTCTCAGTGGTGTAGTGCCTTACGCTTTACAACCAAGTTCTGTAATTTTTGACTTTCAAAAGACAACCATTTCTGCTCTTCTATGATAAAGCTCTTCTCTTTGGAGAATATAATGTTCTAAAAGGATTGGTTATTTTCTTTTCATGGTAAGACTCAATATCTGGTTATTTGATAACTTCTTATCAAGTTCACTTAGAAACCAAAGTAAAACAAAAACAACAGCAACACAATAGTTAGATATGAGAAGGGAACAATTAAGGTAAATGCATATATGGTTTCTCTGGTAGTTTTTCTAATAATTAGAAAACGGGCAGGAAGATAACCCAGCAGGCCTAGTGCCTATTGGGCCCAATCCATAGAGCAATATCAAAAGCTTAAGGTAAAACAAACCTGGAGAAAGATCTTATGATATATGTTATAAAAGACAAATAGTAGCCACTCAGGTTGAGTGCATTATCAGAAAGATACTGGAGAGTTTGAAATTTGTGTGACTACTTTTCTGTAGTTTCCCCTGAATACGGTAATTACAGGTGAGAGGAGGCAGAAGTTGTAATTCTAAGGAACGAGTCTAAATATCCTTCCAAGTTCTAGAAAGTTTAAAAATCTCAAGACCCTTTCCCATATTATGGAAGTGTTTTAAAAAATACTGGGAATAGTAGACTCTCTGACTAAGAGACCCTAAGAGCCTGGAAAGAACCCTCCAAATATGAAGCTTTTTGAAATGTGTGCATCTATTATCATAGTTACAGCTATTGTGAGCTGTCATCAATAGTAAGAATGACACTTTAAGGTGTTGTGACTGTCTTTGTGTCCTCCACGCTCCTGTAAGTAAATGATACTAATAAACACATTGGTTCACCAAGTTGGACTTTGGTGAAAATATTTTACTTGTATTTGGTTCTCTACATGCTCTGAGAAGGTGGTGTTCCTCCACAGAAAAAGTTAACAAAACTATTATTCTTTTAGCCTGCCTGTAGTGCAGGAAAGCACCACTTATACCTATGTACAGAATATTTCCATCAGTGTCTAGAAAAGAATTATAGATCCTACTACAATTGCAGAATTCACTTGTCCCTGAATATATTTTTTAATTTTATTTATTTATTTATTTATTTATTTATTTATTTATTTATTTATTTATTTATCTATTTATTTACTTTGTACACCCACTGCAGCCCCCTCCCTTGTCTCCTTCCAGTCCCACCCACCCTACCTCTTCTCCCCTGATCCCCTTTCCCTAGTTCCCTGATAGAGGAGGACCTCCTCCCCTTCTATCTGACCCTAGCCTATCAGGTCTCATCAAGGCTGGCTTCATCATTTTCCTCTGTGTCCTGGCAAGGCTCCATGCCCCCCTACCCCAGGGGAGGTGTTCAAAAGTCAGCCACTGAGTTCATGTCAGAGACAGTCCCTGTATCCCTTACTAGGAAACCCACTTGTAAACTAAGCAGCCTATGGGCTTCCTCTGAACAGGGGGTCTAGATCTTCTCCGTGCAAGATCCTTGGTTAGAGTATTGGTTTCTGCAACCTCCCCAAACCCCTGGGCCCAGAATTTTTGGCTCTGTTGTTTTCCTTGTAGAGTTTCTGTCCCTCCAGGTTTTTCTATTTCCCACTACCTCTATAAAGTTTCTGGCACTCTACCCAAAGTTTGGCTACGAGTCTCAGTATCTCCTTTGATACCTTGGTAAACAGAGTCTTTCAGAGGATCTCTATTGTAGGCTCCTGTCCTGTTTCTTTTTCTCTCCTTCTTCTGATGTCTATCCTGTTTGCCCTTCTGAATGAGGATTAAGCCTCTTCCCTAGGGTCCTCGTTGTTGTTTAGCTTCTTTAGGACTAGATTTTAGTATGTTTATCCTGTATTATATAGCTAATATTCATTTATAAGTGAGTATATACCATGTGTTTCTTTCTGTACCTTCAGTTGATAAACAGCTTCATAAAAGTGGCTGGATACAAAATTAACTCAATAAAATCTGAAGCCCTCCTGTATACAAAAGACAAATGGGCTAAGAAAGAAATTAGGGAAACAACACCCTTCACATAGTCACACATGACATAAAGAACCTTGGTGCAACTCTAACCAAGCAAGTGAAAGACCTGTATGAAAAAATACTTCAAGTCTCTCAAGAATGAAATTGAAGATGATACCAGAAGATGGAAAGATATCCCATGTTCATGGATCATTAAGTAAAAATGTATAGTAAAACGGTAAAAATGGCTATCCCAACAAAAGGAATGTACAGATACAATGCAATTCCCATCAAAATACCAACAAATTTAATTAAATTTTTATATTAATTACAATTTCTTCACTTTGTATCCCAGCTGTAGCCCCCTTCCTCATTCCCTTCCAATACCTCTCTCCCTCATCTCCTCCCATGCCCCTCTTCACATCCTCTGATATGGAAGGACCTCCTCCCCTTCCCTCTGACCCTAGCTTATCAAGTCTCATCAGGGTTGACTTCATTGTCTTCCTCTGTGGCCTAGCAAGTCTGCTCCCCCTTCATGGGAAGGTGATCAAAGAGCCAGCCATGAGTTCACATCAGAGACAGTCCCAGTTCTAACAGAATCTTTTACAAATCTTGAAAGAACAATTTTCAATTTCATATGGAAAACAAAACAAAACAAAAAAACTAGAATAGCTAAAACAATCCTAAACAATAAAAAAAAAAAGAAAAAGATCTTCTGGAGGTATCTCCAGCCCGGATCTCAATCTGTATTATAGAGCAATAGTGGATTAATAAAAACAGTAGATTAATGGGATCAAATTGAAGACCAGGAAAAAATCCCACACACCTATGGAACCTTAATTTTTGACAAAGAAACCAAAACGATACCATGGTAAAAGATAGCATGCTCAACAAATATTTCTGGTCTAACTGGAAGTTCACATGTTGAAAAATGCAAATAGACTCATATTTGTTCCCCTGCACAAAGTTAAAATCCAAGTGGATCAAATATCTCAACATGCTGGTCCAACTGGATGTCCACATGCAGAAAAATGAAAATAGATCTATATTTATCACCCTGCACAAAACTAAAGTCCAAGTGGATCAAAGACCTCAACATAAAACCAGACACGCTAAATCTGTTAGAAGAAAAAGTGGGGAACAGCCTAGAACTCATTGGCACAGGAGACAACTTCCTGAATAGAACACCAACAGCACAGGCTCTAAGAGCAACAATCAATAAATGGGACCTCATGAAACTGAAAAGCTTCTGTAAAGCAAAGGACACTGTCATCAAAACAAAACGCCTGCCTACAGATTGAGAAAGAATCTTCACCAACCCTTTATCTGACAGAGGACTAATATCGAGTATTTACAAAGAACTAAAGAAGCTGAAAAGCAGCAAACCAAGTAATCCAATTAAAAAATGGGGAACAGAGCTAAACAGAGAATTCTCGACAGAGGAATATCGAATGGCAGAGAAACACTTAAAGAAACGCTCAACCTCAATAGCCATCAGGGAAATGCAAATCAAAACGACCCTGAGATATCACCTTACACCCATCAGAATGGCCAAGATGAAAAACTCAAGGGACAACACATGCTGGAGAGGTTGTGGAGAAAGGGGAACCCTCCTCCACTGCTGGTGGGAATATAAACTGGTATAACCACTGTGGAAGTCAATCTGGCACTTTCTCAGACAATTAGGAATAGTGCTTCCTCAAGACCCAGCTATACCACTGCTAGGTATATACCCAAAGTTTTCTCAAGTACACAAAAGGGATATTTGCTCAACCATGTTTATAGCAGCTTTATTTATAATAGCCAAAACCTGGAAACAACCCAGATGTCCATCAATGGAGGAATGGGTACAGAAATTGTGGTATTTTTACACAATGGAATACTACTCAGCAATCAAAAAGGATGAAATCATGAAATTTGCAGGCAAATGGTGGGATCTAGAAAGGTCATCCTGAGTGAAATATCCCAGAAGGAGAAAGACAAACACGGTATATACTCACTTATATAGACCTATAAGATATGATAAACATAATGAAATCTATACACCTAAAAAAGATAATCAAGAGAACGGACATGGGGTAAGATTATCAATCCTCGTTTAGAAAGACAGATGGGATGCGCATTGAACATATGACAGGAGTCTACTGAGTGCATTTGAAAGACTCTAAGTAGTATTGTTTTCAAAGCAAAGACTCATGACCAAAGCTTTGGCAGAGTACAGGGAATCATAAGAAAGAAGGGGAGTTAGTCTGATGAGGAAAGGATAGGAGCTCCACAAGGACCAAATATATCTGGGCACAGGGTCTTTTCTGAGACTGACATGCAACCAAGGACCATGTATGTATGTAACCTAGAACCTCTGCTCAGATGTAGCCTGTGGTATCTCAGTAACCAATTGGTTTCCCATAGTGAGGGGAACAAGGACTATTTCTAACAGGAACTCAATGACTGGCTCTTTGGCCTCCCCACCCCCCAAGGGAGGAGCATTCCTGTTAGGCCACAGAGGAGAGCTTTGCAGCCAGTCCTGAAGATACCTGATAAAACAGGATCAGATGAATGGGGAGGAGGTTCACCCTATTAGTGGACTTGGCAAGGGGCACGGTGGAGATGAGGGAGGGAGGGAGGGACTGGGAGGGAATGAGGGATCGGGACACGGCTGGGATACAGAGTTAATAAAATGTAACTGATAAGAAAAAGTAAAATTAAAAAAGAAAAGAAATGAGCTGAAAAAAAAATATCTCAACATAAAACCAGACACACTAAACCTGTTAGAAGAAAAAGTGGGCAAAAGCCTTGACCTCAATGGCACAGGAAATAACTTCCTGACCAGAACACCAACAGCATAGGCTCTAAGATTAACAATCCATAAAAGGGACCTAATGAAACTGAAAAGCTTCTATAAAGCGAAGGACATTGTCATCAAAACAAAACACAGCCTATAGATATTCAGCAACCCTAGTTCTGACAGAAGGCTAATATCCAGAATATTTAAAGAACAGAATAAGTTAAACACCAACAAACCAAGTAATCCTATTAAAAATGGGGTACAGAGAATATCAAATGGCAGAGAAACACTTAAAGAAATG